ATAGTTCGTTTTGTCTTATGATTTGTTATTATTATCATGTTTCTATGAATTGTTATGAAGGGGGTCCGTGGCATATTAATAACGGGATCCTGTATTGATCATTGATTATGTTAATGTATGGTTTGTTATAACCTCTCTCTTTACTCAGCCCTCTTCGTGATTACATTTTCTTGTCTTTGTTTTTTGCTTTTGTTTTTCTTTGTTGTGTAGTTTTTCTTCCTTTTCTTTTTTACTGTGTTGCCTTTTTCTTTTTCTTTGTCTTCTTTTATCTTTCTTTCTTTCTTCTTTCTTTGGTTGTTCATACCTTTTCCCTTATCTTTTTTGCCTGTTGTCTTCTTTTCTTTCTTTTTTCTTTTAACTATTGTTAATCTTCCCGATTTTTTTCTTTCTATCATTCTTTTGTTTACTTTGTTGTCTTCTCTCCTTTTCTTTCTTCCACTTCTCTCACTACATTGGTCATCCCCTCTTTTTTCTCCTTCTCTCTTTCTAAATATTATCTCTTTAAATCTTTTGTTTTGTTTTATAGCTGGTCTCTCTGTCGCTCCCCCCTTCTGATTTCTCTATATTTGTTTTGTTTTCCTCGACAGTCTATTGTCTTTGATAATAACGATTGCTTCGCCTGCTTTCATATCGCTCGCAAGGGATTGTTTACGTTCAAAGAACCTTCTTTGCTAACTTATTAGCTTTTCACATATGAATAATCAATAATAATAATATTGATTATTAATAGTTATTTATTCATTATTATATTCATTATTATTGATTATTACTTATTATTATTTATTATTAATTAGAATTAGCTCCATCAGTCACTACGACAAACTTGGATGTAGATGAGTTCAACCCATTAACTAAGAAAAAAAATAAAGAGAGAGAAAAAAACGAGGAGAGAGAGAGGGGGGAAGGGGAAGGGGCGCCAGGGCTCAGGATGTGGGTATCGAGGGGGGGGAGGTAGGCGCCATGGAGGGAGGCGAGGGAGGGAGGGAGGGACTAGTGAGCTGTGATCGCGAGATAGGTGAGGTGGCAGGTTGAGTTCGCGAGGTAGGTCGTGAGGGAGGGAGGGTAGGGAGGGAGGAGGGAGGGAGGGAGGGAAGGGGGACAAGCAGTATGGGAAAGGGCGATAGGGTGTAAGGGTAGGCCACTGATGGTGCATAGGGACTATCTGCCGATTCCAAGTAGAGAGAGAGAGAGGAGAGAGAGAGAGAGAGAAGAGAGAGAGAGAGAGAGAGAGAGCAGAGAGAGAGAGAGGGGGGCGGGGGAGAGAGAGGGGGGGAGAGTGAAGAAGGTGCAGAGGATCGCTTAGAGAGAGCAGGAAGAGACGCGATAGGAGTAGAGATCACGAGATGTAGAGAGAGAAAGAGAAGAGAGATGTAGGAGAGAGAGAAGAGAGAGAGAGAGAGAAGAGGAGAGAGAAGAGAGAGAGAGAGAAGAAGATGAGAGAGAGCACGAGGGAAATATCTTTCGTTTCATGTTTCTTTCTTCATTGCCTATTTTCTTCTTTCTTTCTTCCGTACGAGAGCTAAGAGACTACAGAGCTGAGGAAGAGAGAACTGAGGCCAGCAGTCAGTAGCAGAGCTGATGACCTTCCTTGCCTTCACTGATCCCTGATGGCACTTCAGTCTGCGAGTCTCCCATCGAGAGAGCATCGTCAGGTCTCACATTGAGGAGTAATCTCTCGCTCGTCAAGCTTAGAAGTCAGTCTCATCGAGTCATGTCAGTCCTTCTGCAGTCGAAAAGTAGACGATGAGAAGAGATCAGACACAAGAGAGATAGAGAGGAGAGAGATTCGACAAGCTAGAAACGAGATGGAGAGGTCGCAGAAAAGTATAATTTAGGTTGTGCCACTTCCTTCAGACTAAATCTCCCTACCCCTCCTCTTCTCCCTCCTCCCTTCCCCTCTTACCCTACCCTAAACCCCTATCCATCTTCACCCTTGGCGCGTCTCTCTCTCTCTCTCTCTCTCTCTTCTCTCTCCTCTCTCTCTCTCTCTCTACTCTTCTCTCTCTCTCACTCTCCTCTCTCCTTCATCAGTCTCCTCATCTCTCACTCTGCTCCTCCCTTACCGCTATCCCCTTACCATCCCTATCCCTCCTCTTCCCTCTACACCCTCTCCTCCCTTCAAGCCCTTTCCCCTCTATGCTGTGCTCTCTCCTGCCCTCTCTCTCTCGTCTCTCTCCCTTGCCTCTGTCTCTCCTCTCTCTTCTCCCTTGCCTCTTCTCTCCTCTCTCTCTCCTTGCCCTACACCTCGCACATGTTTTGCAACTACCAGGATAAACCGCGCTCAGCTGGTTGTCTGCCATGGCGCTTCTCTTTCGCCTCTCTCTCACTCTCTCCCTTCCCCCTCCCCTTTCCCCTCTCCCCTTATCTCCCTACTCTTCCCCCTGCTATCGTCCCTTCCTCACCTCTTATTTCACCCCTCTCACCACCCTTTTCTCCACTCTCTCCCTCTCCTACTCCCTCTTCTCTCCCCTCCTCAATCCTCTCCCCATTCTCCTTCTCCCTCCTCCTCTCCCCTTTCCCTCTTCACTCTCCTCACTTCCCTCCTCCACCCCTCAATCCATTCTCCCTCCCTTCTCTCCCATTCCGCCCCCTCTCCCCTCTCGTCCACTTCCACCTCGCGCCCCCTCAATCCTTGCTCGGGCCCCGTCTCCCTCTCCTACCCCCGCTCACATCCTTTAACCCTCAGCCCTCTACTTACCCCAGCTCCTTTCACCCTCCTTCTCTGCTCCTCCTAGCGATCCATGGGCGCCTTACCTCTCCCTCCTTCTCCTCCTTCTTTCTCAAGTCTTCCCCACCCTCCTTCCTCCCCATCTCTGCTGCTTGCCTCAAATCAGCCCTTTACCCTATGATCCAATCCATAATCAACCTCTCTCTCCTCCCTCTTCTCTTATCTTAGGTCCACACCTCCCATCCTTCTAACCCTCCTTTTTTCCTCTCATCCCTCCTTCCTCCCTTCTCGGCTCGCTTGCTAATTCATCTATCCTCCTTCTCACAGTCCCTCCTCCTATCCCTCTCACTCATCAATCCATTTTCTCTACCATTACATCCTCATCCTCCTCTTCTCCTTCTTCCCTTCTCTTCCTTCTCCTTCTCCCCTGCGGTTCCTCCTGCCTTTCTCTCCTACTCCTTTTCTCCTCTCTCTCTCTCACCTCCCCTCGACCTCGCAGCCTCCTCCTCCTCTCCTCCTCCATTACTCCTTGTCCCTCCTCTCTTCTCCTCCTCCTCACTCCACACCACACACCTCTTCCCCCCCACCTCCTCTCATCCGCACACATCCAACCCTTACCTACTCCACTGCCCCGCCTCCTCCACCTCTTCCCCCCCAACACCGCACAACCTAAACCAAACCCACCTACACCGCAAACACCACCCCTCCACCTCACCCGCCCCCTCCACCCACACGCTCACCCCCCCACCCTGTTCAGCCACCTACCCACCCAGTCTCACTTCTCTACTCCCCTCACCACCCCTCCACCCACTACCCCACCCTCACCTACTCCACCACCTCACCCCTTTTACCCCCTGTGTCCGCACACGCCCGAGTGAAAAAGTATTTTCAAGACAACCATCGTGTGTTATGGAAGCAACAAGACAGCTGTCTCGCGTGATGGTAGCGCTGGTGGTAGCCTTGGTATGAGATTGGTTGTGAATGGTTAGTAAGAATGATCGCCTGTGTATTATGAACGGTTTGTGATGTAGCAGGGGAGTTGATTGCCACTGGTCAATGCTGTGTGAATTATGGTAAAGCGAGGGTTGTATCGTTGTCTGGATTGTGTATGTGTGGTGGTCAGTCTAGGCGCGTTGAATTGCTGTTAACGTGTGGAATTATGGTAGCAGGGGTTGATTGCAATGGAAATGTGTGGGTGTGATGGTGAGCAGGGCGCCCTGATTGCCTGGTATGTGTTGGTATTATGGTAGGTGATCGCGTACTCGGTATCTGTGGTATTATGGTAGTGATCGCCTGGTATTGTCGGGTATTTAATGGTTAGGTGATCGCCTGGCATGATGTGACTGATGGTAGTTTGATCCGCCCTGGATGTGTGGTGTGGTTGTAGGCGCAGGGGGTTTCGATTGCCTGTATGTGTGGAATTATGGTAGGTGATCGTCCTGGTATGTGTGGTTACTGATGGTACAGTTTGATCGTAAGGTATGTGGTGGTGTGATGGTAAGTGTGAAATCGCCTGGTAATGTGTGGTGTGGTTGTAGCAGGGGTT